ATATGGGGTTATCCGGTCCTTTATTTTTTTACGCTAATTAGATCTCCTCGATAGCAATCCTCATATTCAGTACAGTTAACCGTTACTATTCTGTCAGACCAGAAAACATAACAATCATAAAAATTGTGGCTAAATATATTTATGTTCAAAGTCGTAAAAACATGAAGAGACCGGGTAGGTAGTGTTTGAGATATTATAATGTGTGTATATATATATATATACTAGAATATCATGTATAGGAATATACATATAATATATAGATAACAAAATGCAATAACATATAATATACAATATTAAATCAGGTAATATATATATATATATACAGATATATATATATATATGTGCAGTATGTGTGTACATCAACATAATTCTAGAGATTATCTATTTTTCTTTTCTGCATATTTCGTGTATCTATACTTATATTTTTCCTTGGTAGGATTAACAGACAGCTTCCAGCGTTATGTAAAGATTGATTTCAGTAACTTGTAGCAACAAAAGAATAGATTGATCCAGATCGGATGGAATTTTTCTAGAATAATGACAATTTCTTCGATGCGCCCTTGGGCCTCGGGACCATGCTGTGGCACAAGCAGAACAGCACCTTGCCGCCTTGCCCACAAGATCTGGGGCTCTGACCCATCTTTAGCTGGACCCTGCAGGCAAGAAGAACTTATGATGACTGCTGCCAACTCAGAACCTCTCAATACTTGCACCTGCTTCGTCTTTCCAGAAGGCTTCGCTGGGCCAAACTTTGACTGGAATGCCTGATATCTTGATCTTGCAGGATGCACGCTGACAAAACAGCCCCGACCTCCGGGCGATGGTGGAAACCTGCCTTTGGCCTGGGAAGAGGCTCTCTGGCAGGGGTATGCATGTACAGGCAAGCAAAAGCTGTTCCTCAGCGCGACACCCACTTCCCGAATCTGCATCGAGCCATAGCTTACGTCCTTGCAACCTCGATCTGGAGCAGTGATTGTTTTCAAGAAGACTCTGTGAGTCTCGGAGCACTTGAAACCACTACTGCTGGAAAGACTTGACCACTGGCATTCTCACCAAAGACTCTGGCGATGGGGCAGGGTCCAGAAGCATTGCGGCTTGAAGTCCCTGACCCGAGCAAGAGCACCGCAGCTAGAAATTTCGAATCTCTTCAGAAACACCAACTTACCCACCACTTCAGAGCTGTCTGTTGTCGCTCGGCTTGGTGCAAGACTTCATGCTCTGCATTGGCGCATTAAGGCTGTGGTGTTCGGGCAGGAAGACTTGCTCTGCACGAGAATTCTCCAGTCGCCTTGGCTTTCGCGAATTCGACGTAGGCAAAGCCCTGCCAGACAGGGCACACTATCATGCCACAGCACCAGAGCAGCAAACGCGAGCATTCACAGGCCTTCGACCTTCCGGCTTGGTGTGGGATTCTGATCTCAACCACCTGACGAGACAAGCAAAAGCTTATCCTGGGCTGTACCACGAGGCCTCACCTTGCCACACTTTACGAAGAGCTTTGCAATGTCGTCTTCTGTCGCGCTGTAGGGCAAGTTCTTCACAAAGAGTCGGCCTGTCGCTGAACTCAGCGGCTCGAGGCGTCGGCCTTTGCAGCGAACTGGGGCATCGGCGCTTTCCTTCCAAGTCCTCTGCCGCAGGAGCGGACTTGCCTGCCAACTTGGACATGTAGGACTTGTCCCATGCATCCTGGCATGCTTACTCTGCTCTCCGTGTGGCCTTCACCCGGCTGCTTGGCAGGCTCGATCTTGAGATAGCGGCCCTTTGCCAAAGCACAACCCCAAAGGCGTCTGCCACAAAGCTGCAGCAGGGACAAGACAAAGGGCCGTAGATCTTTTCAGCTCTGCCGCAGCCTTCTTGCCAACCTTGCTCCCGTTCAGCGCGAGCGCTTTGTCTTTGCTCTCCCCGTTGCCCAGCACCACATGAGCATATCCGCCTCCAAGACAGCAGAGCATTCAGCTTCTACGAAAATGATGAGGATCATGCTGGTGATGCTGATGATGACGGTGAGGTTAGTGGTGAAGCTAAATATGATGACGATGACGTCGATGATGCCCATCCCAATCATCACCACCAAAATCGCAGTTGCCATCGCACACCATCACCCATCATCGCAGTTCCAACCTTACCCGGCCATTACATTGGTGTCATTATTCGCCTTGGATGTGGCCTATGAGTATTTAGAAAATCCTGTCTACGGCCTTGTCCCTCCCCGTAAACGTCCAGACACCTGCGCCACCACTCCACGTCGAAACGCATCTCAAATTCGTGTTCCCCGCTGCTGTGCAGCATGGGCTTTCCGCGAGTTTTCATTACCCGCTCAAGAAGTAGACTGCTTCGAGATTGGCGGAGAACACAGCGCTTCGTACCCTCTCCACATGTACGCAAGTTTCTTTACAGAAGATCTCCGTTCCAAGATCCTCTGCAGATTTACTGAAATCCCTTTCGCGTCGAAAGCAAATCCATTAATGGCCATTAACGATTTCGTAAAGGAACCGGCTTCCAAAATGTCAACCAATTGGCTCCATTTGGTCCCTATAGTTGCTTCAACTGCTCTGCATATTTCCTCCAGTCCCTCTCCACATTTACATTAGTCTCCCCGTCACTCTTTACGCTTCCCACAAACCATTTTATTTCGATTCGGATCTCATTTTTGGCTGTGCACAAGAGTATATCAAACGGGTCAGGCTTCGGGTTTAGGGTTTTCAGTTCCCTTCTATGCTTACCCAAATCCCCGGTCGAACGTCTCGTCCCGCGCTGTCCGCACTCACACAAAGTCCGCTTCTACATTCTGGACTGCCACGCCTTGGGGAGGAATTGAGGAAATCCTTTGGGGGCTGTGAGCATATGCAGCAGGATACGGAGCCGAACACGAAAAAGGCACACTGCGTCTTAAAGAACAAGCAAACGACTACACACACAGAGCCGGAACCCCCAATAAATTCCAAAACGATAATCACTGCTCGACTGAGCCCTGCACGCAAGCGGCCCGAGTCCTGCCAGGTGGGGGCCCGCACTTCGGCCACCTCACCTCGGTTCAGGAAGTTGAGTATTCAGATTAATTACTGCTGTAGTTGTGGTGGAAGTAGTAACAGCATCTGCAGCAGAAGAGGACGTAGAAGCTGAAGTAGTAGTAGTAGTAGTAGCAGCAGCAGGAGTAGTAGTAGTAGTAGTAGTAGTAGTAGTAGTAATAGGAGTAGTGGTAGTGGTGGTAGTAGTAGTAGTGCTGGTGGTGGTGGTAGTGGTAGTCGTAGTGGTAGTGGTAGTGGAAATGGTGGTGGCGGTGGTGTCAGTGGCGGTGGTGGTGGTGGCGGTGGTGGTCGTGGTAGTCGCAGTGGTACTGGTAGTGGTAGTGGTAGTGGTACAGCAAACAGCAAGTGTTTTTCATCTGACTATTGTGATAGTTAGTACTATGAACTTAAGCAATCAAAGTTATAAATATATGTAACTATAATTACTAAAACTACTATTATAACTGTCGCTGCTACTTGTTCTACTACAACAACTACTACTAGTACTACCACTACTACTACTACTACTACTACTACTGCTACTACTACTACTACTACTACTTCCACTTCCACTTCCAATTCGCGAACATGTGTCCATGTCCTGCGGCCCTGCATACAGACTTAGTCTGGCCATCGCTTGACAGCAGCAGTTAGCCCTAAAAAGCAGCATGACAATTGTCAGCTGTCAAAGGCATCGTAAGTGCGGCACCCGAGTTGAACACTCCAAGCAGTGCCAAGGTTAAGATTGTAACACCGCCCCGACAGGGCCAAGCATGTCACATCAGCACAAGATCGCGTGTCTGTACGAGCAATGAGTGCTGAAAATACGGCTGTAAAAACGGTTGGTACATTTCATTCGGCATCAGAAGAGCAGGACTCACAGCGTAGGCGCAAAGCGGCAACCCTGGCAAAGGTCATGGCCATGACTCCGTAGCCCCAAGAGCATGCGCATCAGGCGCATCATGCGCACTATGGGGAAGAAGGCCCATCTATGCAGAAAATCTCCTCCCGCGGCATAAAACCCAGCTGTAGCAAATAGGACATGTCATCAGCTGGAATTCGTTCGGCATTGCGAACGTGGAAAGCAATTATGTGATATCGCTGTCCAACCCACAAGGTACGGTTGCATGCTTCAGCCATGGTGCAAACAGTACTGGATGATGCGTGTCATGAATGATTCCCCTGGGCCCTCCAGGCTCCAACTGAACTGAGCCCTCATCGTGAGCAATCCACAGTCCACCAGCCTCGTAGTACGAGAATGGTAAAAGCAGATTGTGCGAGGCCTCGTCGTTGTGAGAATCAGCATGCATCAAAGACTGGATGTTACAGACCATACTGACTGTGGTGAAGCGGTGTGCGGAGTGCAGTGAACGAACGATGCTGGCCAGCAAGACTCCGGTCCAAGGATGAGTTCTGCTGTGCTTGCGTAGGCCATGATGCGAAGCATGCGAGAACCCCCCAATCGTAAAAGATGCACTTGGATGATGCGCAGACTGGGAAGAAGCTGCCTGACAGGCTCTGGTTAGTGCCTCAGTCGGAAGCATAGCAAACAAGTCGCGTAGCTGTGCCCATGTAGCTGAACCACGCATCAGCAGATCACGAGCACGGAACTCGGCGGGGGAGGATGGCGGACCTTCCGGCACAAACCTGGCACTGGTCTTGTAAACACCTGGAACGAAGTCAGTCCATGCTGTGGGGGCGGGCTCGTAGGGAACCGGTGGCTCACTGAAGATGCTAGCTCCCCGTTCTGGATACATCTCCATGTCCCTGGCCGCCTGTTGACTGAATCCGTGTAGTCTGTGAAAAGCAGTCGATGGCATACGATATGGGTGCACACCATGAATCAATGCGAAATCACCTGCCAGATATTTACGCTCGGACGCCATGTAGCCCAGGGCAGTGCATATCACAATGTTGCCAAGCATATGGCTGTGGAATGTGTAACGAGCAAGATCATGCACGAATCGTTGCCCGATGCGCAAAGACTGAGATCCTGCCACACAAGGTTCACGGCTCATCAATGTGAAGATTGATTAACAGCGGCCAAGGCGTGCGCCAAACAGGGATACGGATGTAGAGATCGTGCATCGTCACCTGGGTGATTGTCATGCACACGCTCCCGAACCAACATACTGCCGTAACAAGTTGTCCATGCGCGGGCTCAGAGGAGACATAGGACAAGGGTCCCGTTTTGCCTTGCCGCAAGATCAACATGGCGGCTCTCCGGTGGTGCTCCGAATGCCCATACATACATATGGAGCACTACGAACTTGACGGACGCCCGGTCTGTAAGGCAGGCTGCTGTCCTGCCCCGGGAAACAAGAGTCGGCAACATGTATCAATGCGCCGCAAAATCATGTAGCATCCAGGACCGAGGCTGACGGAACCAAATCAGAATGACCACCACTCTCACCCCCATTGGCAGAGTCAACAGCAGCATTCGGAGGTAGGCTAATCAGCATCGAATCACGGAAGAAAGAGTCACATCCTCGCCGCCGCCTATGCGGTGGACCTCAGTTGCTGTAGGAGCCAAGCGAGCGGGCGATAAGCTGTGCCAGCGCGCTCCGCTGTGCCCTTTCGGGTCGCATGCTCATAGCGATGAGCTGTGTGCAAGCATTATTGGAAAGCTCGCGAAGATAGCCATTCAGGCGATCCGCTTCATCCGTTCGCATACCAGTCTGAAGGCAGAACGGGATGACATGGCCCGACATCTCCTCAGTCAACGGTCTGGTAGGATGAAATCTCTGAAGCGTGTCCGGTATGGAGATCAGCGCATCAACGGCGGTGAGCGTTGCACAAACCTTCGCGTACGGTAGACCCTCACGGGTCTCATCAACGACCTGGGCCTTCTTGGTCTTGTCCCAACGCAAGTAGGACCACTGCGGGTCATTGCCGGGCGAGGGCTTGATCCAGCCTAGCTTCGCCATGCGCTGTTGGGCCTCCTCCTGCTCCGGCGTCTTGAAGTGCTCAAGGCGTTGCATCAACTCCTTGATGATACATGCCATAAGCGTGGTGCGCATAGGCTTGTTGAGAGTCTCCGGCGCAGAGGCCTTGGTCTCCCTCCAGCTTCGCTGCGCTTCAAAGATAGGACTGACCACCGAGCAATGCACGTCAATCCGAAAGAACATCACAAAGCCATACGCGGCCCGGATCAGGCTCAGGCAGCTCAGGCAGTCCTCATGTCGCAGAAGTAGACGTTGAACCTGGGCCATGAGTTCTCCCTCCTGCTGCTGCCGGCCCCAGCCGTTCCAGCGAGAATTCTGATAGCCATATTGGCCTCAAAGTGACGCTTGCCCCCATGTGTCCCGCTCTGTTGGGATCGACCCTTCCCTCGCTGATCCTGACTCCGTCCGTCACCTTTCTGATTCGGCTTGGCAAACTTATTGGCCGTCTCCTCCTCATGCTTAGCCGTGTCATCGGTTGCTACTGGCTCGGCCGGCTTCCCGGGAACTGAGCCAGGCCAATAGACATTGAAGAAGTGATGTTCCTCCCGCTCCGTGTCCATATCAGCAACTGTCATACTGAGTCCAAGCTGAGGCCAGCTGCTCTCTGTCACTCTTGAGCCCTAGCAACCCAGATGAGGAAGGCATTTCGGGAATGAGATGCAGTGATCTCGCTGGGCACAGCAACACATCCATCGTCTTGATAAATCCACGAGGCCCCGACTTTCAGCATGGCCCGATAATGCCCATGATGTACACTGGGGCCTTCGTGCACAACAAAGGATACAACCTTGAAGGACTGCCACGTCACGTGGAATTGAGGCCCTCGGCAAAGATCGGTAATTGGACCACGTCATTGATCTGCACCATGGTGCGCAATTTGGAGGCATGACGAAATCTCAGCAGCTGCAGCACTACTAGACCATCAGTGTAAGCAATCGCGTTACGCTCCCCCTCTGAAAACCAAAAGTTGATCAGAGTTTGTAAGTCCGTAGCCCGATC